TGCAAGCAGGGCTGGCACTGTTGTACATGGCATCGCTCTGCGTTAAAACTGACTCCATGGTACCTAACGGCAACACGCCGCGAAGACAGTTCCTCAGGGTTAGCACCAACCAACCCACTGTCCTGGATGCCAACTCTGTACGGTTCCCAAGGCGGTAAATCTTCATGGGAGCAGACTGCTTCTTTCAGCAGTAGCGGGTGGGCTTTGACAGCTACTTACCTTGTTATTATGAAACCCAGTGACCACTCCTTGCCCTCCTTTTATCTTGCTCCCTATCCACCCCCCAAGCGTCTCTGCATTTAGTTCTTCCCTGATGCCCATTCCTCCTTGGGCTGCATGCATTATCGGTGCCCACAGCTTCAGTTCCTGTCTCTCTCCTCTCTGCCTCCTGACTTGGGCAGGGCTTCAGGAACAGGATTGCGTCTACGTGTGGCCATACGGCTAATAGAAGACTTAATACCCAGTCCTGGCCCTCTTCCTGACAGCTGGCTGTGGGAGTCCACAGCTGCGCTGTTGGGCTGGCCCATCTCCATGAGAGTTTCCCTCATGTTGTTGGCTCCCTATTTACCAAACGGGAGGTCTTTTCTCTAGCGACTGCTCTTTCCTGTTGCCCTATCCAAGGAGTGCGCCCACGTCTTGCTGCCCTTGCTCCTCAGACTGTTCCCCCATCCTTAGAGCAGTCGGTGGGGAGACCTCTGCTGGATGTCTGACACAGCGGTGATCACTGAGCTGACTCCGACCCACGGCTACCTGTGTGTTGGAGCAAAGCCAGGCTCCTCTGGAGCCACAGCCAATGCCCAGACCTTTCTGCTGGGAACCTCTGGGTGGGGCTGGCTAGTCACCAAGTGCCCATGCACTGTCTGCAGCAGGCTGGGACTGTGGGTGCCTCAAGTCACGCGCCTCCAGGCTGATCCCCACTTCTAGCCACCCTCTAGGGCAGGGGAGGACTGCTCCCATGTGCTCCCGAGACTGTCACTCTTTATAGGAGAAAGATGGGTGTAGAAAGCTCTCTTGCTTGGACTGGTGACATAGCCTCCTGGTCTCTGCTTCCATCCTGTCCCTTCCAGCCTCTTCACACAGAATCAACACCTGCAAACCAAACCAGGTTCTAGTGGTCCCTCACTCAAAACCCTCAGCTTCCCATTTCACACGGAGAAAAAAAGCCAGTCTCCACAGTGGCTGGCAGGGTCCTCCTACCTTGCCAACCACTTTCTGCATTATAGCCGGGGGCCAGTGCATGCCCCTGCCACATGCCCTCGTCTTCTTTAGGCCTTTACTCAAGTGCTGGTTTCTCAATGACCACTTCTCTGTTCCCCTTCAACATGTACATGTTTTATACAGACAGCAGGGATTTATAATGTCTCTCCTCCAGGGGGCAGGCTCCTTAGACAAACAGGGTCTGGTTATGATTTCCCGGGAACTCGGTGTGGCTGGTGTGCACTGCAGGGGCACCGCGGTGGAGAGCGGGCTCCACAGTGTGGCCTCAGTCCCCAACATGCACCCCCCACCCCCCCACCCTACAGAGCAGGCCTTGCTGTTTGGCCTGGGACTTCAGAATAGGGCGTCCTTCCTGATCTCACCACAATAAGCAGTTTCTCTTTTTGTAACACCACACACCCCAACTCCTCCCCGCTATGGCGATCATGTGGTGATTCCTGTACAACCCGGTCTGCCGCTGGATGGCCCGACACCAGGCTTTCATCTCTGCGCTTCCCCCGTACCTCACAGAGCCACCAAAGCCAACCAGAGTCCATGCCACCTCCCAGTAACCCTACGGGACAGGAAGGGCTGCCCTGTGGGTCTCTGAGGCGGACGGTCACTCTTCACAGGAGCAGAAAACCCCCTTTCTCCCACTGAGCTGGTGATCGTTTCAAACTGCTGACCTTGTGGTTAGTGCCCAGTGTGTAACCATAAGTACCACGGCTCCTGGACAGAGTAAGGTAGCATGTTAATACTTGCTAAAGTTTCAAGTATTCTATAGAATGAAAGAATATATATATATATATCACAGCAGTAGGTAAAGATAAAGTTTCCCTACTATGGCAGACTAGACACAGCAACTCAACAAAAATAATTTCCATCTATCGGAATTAAAAAAAAAAATCAGTTTTTTTTCCACTTAAAAAAAAAGTTTTATTG